ACAATTACTGATCCCAGATGCCTTGGACTGGGGTGGCGCCAGTTATGTCTTATCTGTCTGCATGATGACCTCCCCGCTGGTATCTGAGCACTGTGAAAAAGGAAATTGTCCAATTTGAATGCGGAGGAACAAAGAAGACAAAGAGGGAAATGCTCAGATTGGACAGGCAGCCTGATGACACCAGAGTAGGGTACTCTGGCTGGGACTGGCTAGACAAAGAGACCAGAACAGGGAACTGGAGAAGTTGAGTGGAGGACAAACTGGGTCAGCATGGGCAAGGAGATTTGGATTAAGTTCCAGTGTGGGTTGGGAGGGCTAACTGAGAAGTAGGTGGGAATAGACAAAGAACTGCAGGAGGGGTCTGGTAATAGTTAGGCAAATAGATTGGGTCTGAGAGGTGAGTCCTGTGGAGTAAACATTGGAAACGAGTCAGTACAGGAATGGAACATGGTGCCAGGAAGAAATGGCTGGAGGAAGCAGGACAGGAGGGGACGACGCCAGGAAGGAGAAGCAGACAGAACTGGCTGTGCCCACTAAAGCACACACCCTTGCAGATCCTGCAATGGAACTCATGATTGCAGTCTCATTACTCCTCTGCTGCTGTAGTATTGCAGTGACTATAACTGCTTTAGTTGCTTATCTTGTTATTGACTATAATTGTTTTAACTGTTTATTTTGTTATTTCTCTTTTTATGTAAGGAAAAGATTTTACCATTATGATAAAGTTAGTATTTGGAACTAACCATCTATTTTAAATTTCTTGTTGCCTAGCATAAATGTATTTGACCTGTTGGTCTCATGACTTTAGAACTTAAATTTAGTATAAGGAAAACACTTGTGTAAGGGTTTGTGGTATGTCTGGTGTGTGTGGATATATCTGGTTTATGTGGAAAGAGGTAACAAAAGACTAAATGATGGACATGTGTGCCAGCAACACAGAAAGACAGGTTTCTTGCAGCAGGTGAAAATAGCCTCTGTGGTTTAACGGTTAAGAGCTGCAGCAACTTAAGAGTCAGCAATAAAGGATTACCAAACACTAAATCATGCTACATCCTGATGGCTGAAGACTGCAATTGATGGTCCCTGAAGATTGCAGACCACAAAGCCAGAAGATCATGACCTACCAATTCCAGCCTGCCAACAGAGCAAGAAGGACAGCCTTTGAATCTGACTCAGCGGAATCCATAGGCTCTATGGACAGCTATTACTATAAAGAATGAACACAAAGACAAGGCTTTGGGTCTCTTCCACCTGCAAGGAGTTTTGGGCGTGTCCAACAAGACCTGACTCCAACTCTCTTGGCCAGCCTGGCCGGCCACCAGACTGACCCTGAGCAACTTTGAAACTTGGTAACACCTTAACTTTGCAGGCCTGTCTAACTTCTGTGTGTGTGTGTGTCTCTTTTGAATGAATAGATGAATGAATGAGTGAATGAGTATGTATGGGAATGAGTGAAGCAAATAACCTTACTGTTCTTTATTCTTTTCATGTTGCATGTTTTATGTTCCAATAAATGCGGCATTGTGTCTTATCCCCGATAAGATTCCAGCTTGTTTTTAATTCACACTGTACGCCCTGTGTGCACAACACTACCAGCAAATAAGCATGAAACCCACTTGCAAAGTGTGTGCCCAATTTCCTTCTGATGTTGGTCCAAACAGAGGATGACAATCTATTATTAAAATCAAACCGTTTCATTAAAGTTATCCTCCATACTGTTTTTAACTTACTCTAGCAATTGGATTCCTCTTGGAGTTGTCCACCCCTTCCTGAATGACAGCTGGTGGAACGATCCATTCTCGCTTTTGTCTGATGAGGCTGAATTGATTAGAGGGTTGATCATTTTTGCCACCCTCCTTTAAAACCTGTGGATATTGGGGGGGAATGTGTTTAAATCTCAATGTTATATTTTGGTCATTTAATGCTGATGTTCTTCTTAATTGGCTGACATGTTATATGGATTTTATTAATACTTTTTGGTTGCAAATTATTTTAATTTATTTGACATTTAAATTATATTCTAACTCTGAATAAAATATGGATGACTTAAAAGGCAAGTGACCTGGACATTTCTGAAACAGATGTCACTTTCATAGAAATACAGACCAAGGGTCAGATGCTAACCCAGGGTATCAAAAAAACAGCCCATGAAGCTGTTTCATTCAGCCTGTGAGGTTCCTAGAGAGCAGGAATTTGGGAGTCAGGCAGGCAGTGGCAGGGCTATGGAGCCCCAGCAGGGGAATGGTATTGGCAGCAGTGGAGAGGGCCAATTGACAACTGCATTAATCCTCCATGCTGCCATTCGCCCTAACACTGGGACTGGATCTGATGCATGAGGCTCCTTGTGGTCTGGATCTAGCCTGCAAGGAGCTCTGCAGTCCAATTCTGGTCCAGGAGCACAGGTGAATTTGACACACTTATGTTAACCTATAAACCGGGGTTGTCAAACATACAACCCTCAGGCTAGATCCAGCCCACAGAGCCCCAAGATCTAGCTTGTGGGTCTTAGAACCCAAGCACCACGTGCAGACCAGGCTGGCATCCAGGCTGGACCTGACACCCCAGGTGCTGCATGCAGTACAGGGAGTTGGTTTGGGGCTCACACTGCTTGCAGTGTCCCCCTGGACTGGCCCTGTATGCTGGCTCTGGCACACACAGATCCAGACTGGTTCTGGAGCCAGTGTGCTGGTCTGGGGCTATCCACTCTGCTATAAACAAGAGTTACCCTACTGATTTTTTCATATGGCTTTATAACAGGTAAAAAAAAAAAAAGAGGGCTCAAAATATTTACCAGATATAACTTACTATTTTTTTAAACTGAAAAAGAATTCTTCATCACTACTTACCTCAAAATAAAGCGCGTTTCCAATGCTGAAACAGATCTGTGAAATAAACAATAGATCAGATTATTCATTCAGCATAAGGCGTAGTGGCATTATCAATTACATTTTTTAAAAGATGGTTGTATATTAAAGAAAGATCCAATATGTATGAAGTGTTAAATACTGTTGAGACTTTTACCTGAAGTCTACCCAATATAATATACATACATTTAAATAAGACCAGAGTTTTTCCATACTTTTCTTTTAGAAGAAGCATGGAGCAGATGATAATTAACTCCTCTCTTATGCATAAATTATCAGCAAGTACTCACCTCTTATTTTAATACTAAAAAACAAAACATTGAAAATATAGGAATACTACAGCACCAGAATCAAGAAGAGTTCATCACTACCTCAAATGGATCAAATCCAGAATGCTGACAATATGATGATCCTTTTACGTTCTTGAGCAAAGCCAATACTACTTGTGTCACATTATGCATCATATCATAGAATCACAGAAGTAGGGTCGGAAGGGACCTTGTAGATCTTGAAGTCCGACCCCCTGCCTGGGCAGGAGGAAAACTGGGCTCTAA